AGTGTTGTGATGGCGATACTCGACCTCTAGGTTGAGTGACGAGGTCGAGTAGTGGTCTGGCAGTGAAGGTGAAGGCACTCGACCTGGGGGTCGAGTGATGTGATCGAGTGGTGTCAGAAGATACTCGACTTCCAGGTTGAGTGAAGAGATCGAGTGATGGTCTGGTGATGGAGATGAGGGCACTCGACCTCGTGGTCGAGTGGTGAAGTGAAGTGGTGATGTCCTCTGCTCGACCTGGGGGTCGAGTGGTCTCTTGAGATCCTAAAGCTCCTACTCGACCTCTTGGTCGAGTGGTTTGTCGTGATCAGGTCTTCTTCTTCCAGATAGCTCGTCAACAGCTCCAAATCACCTGAAATCAACGCAAATATGCAACATGCATGCAAAACTATCCTTAACATGCAAAGTGATGACAAATGATGTGAAATGGTATAAAACAGTGATGATATGATGCTAAAGTGATGACAAATGGATGCTCAAAACATGCAAAATACACACTTATCAGTCTTGAAAGCTGTCCTGTAAGCCCATAGTGCGTTATCAAGCTTTGATGACCAATCCTTCCTTGTGATCCCCACAGTCTTCTGTAGAATTGTTTTTATCTCTCTGTTGGAGATTTCCAGCTGCCCGCTTGTTTGTGGATGATAAGGAGTGGCTACCTTGTGCTTTACTCCATGTTTCTTCAAAAGATTCTCAAAAACCTTGTTGATGAAATGTTTCCCTCCGTCACTGATTACGACTCTCGAGACTCCAAATCTCGGGAATATAATGGTCTTAAACAGCTTTAGTACAACTCTAGCATCATTGGTGGGACTAGCCATCGCTTCCACCCACTTTGACACATAGTCCACTGCTACCAGTATGTACTTGTTTCCATAAGAAGATGGAAATGGACCCATGAAATCAATTCCCCAAACGTAAAAAATCTCAACTTCCAAGATCGGATTTTGAGGCATCTCATTCCTTCTGCTGATGTTCCCTTTTCTCTGACATGAATTACATTTTGAGATAAATTCATGAGCATCCTTAAACATTGTCGCCCACCATAAACCTGCTTGCAGGAGTTTTGACACTGTTTTGAAAGTTGCAAAGTGGCCACCATAGGCAGATCCATGGCAATGCAGTAGGATGCCTTCGGTTTCGTCTTCTGAGACGCATCGCCTGTAGATCTTATCTTTACAGAGTGTGTAGAGATAGGGTTCGTCCCAGTAAAAATGGTTAATGTCCTTGAAGAACTTCTTCTTCTCATAGCCCGACAGACTCGGAGGCTCTTCACCACCAACCAAGTAATTGACGTGATCAGCATACCATGGAAGCTTGTCCTCTACTGCACATACTTGATCGAGTGATTTTTTAATTTGAGCACTCTTGTTAAGTTGCTGAATCGCCATTAGCTGTTCTTCAGGCATGGAGTCGTCAATGGGTACCTCGTCTTCAATTCTCATCCTAGACAGATGGTCAGCTACACCATTTTCAATCCCCTTCTTATCAACTATCTCCATGTCAAAATCTTGGAGCAATAAGATCCATCTCAACAGTCTGGGTTTGGTATCCTTCTTCGCAGAAAATCATGTCACCTTAGAACCCACCAAGTAGCTTCTAAATTTCTCGAATGCGAATACCACAGCCAGTAATTCCTTCTCAGTGGTGGCATACCTCACTTGTGTATCATCCATAGTCCTGTTGGCATAATAGATGACATGTAGCTTCTTATCAATCTTCTGCCCGAGAACTGCTCCTACAGCGTAGTCTGAAGCATCACACATGATTTCAAATGGATATTCCCAGTTAGGAGCTTGGACTATTGGAGCAGAGACCAAAGCTTCCTTGATTGTCTTAAAAGCTGTTAGACATTCTTCATCAAGTATGAATTATGCCTCTTTGCACAGCAGTCTTGTGAGTGGTCTAGCCAGCTTGGAGAAGTCTTTGATGAATCTTCTGTAAAAGCCTGCATGCCTAAGAAAACTCCTGATGTCTTTCACAGTCTTTGGTGGTTGTAATTGCATCATAACATCGACCTTAGCCTTATCAACTTCTATCCCTTTCTCTGAGATTTTGTGCCCCAAGACAATTCCTTCTCTGACCATGAAGTAGCATTTCTCCCAGTTCAGTACCAGATTGGTTTCCTCACACCTCTTGAGTACCCTGCACAAATTTAACAAACAGGAGGAGAAGGAGGAGCCATACACGGAAAAATCATCCATGAATACCTCGACCGTCTCCTCTATCAAATCGGAGAAAATAGAAGTCATACACCGCTGGAAAGTAGCAGGTGCGTTGCAAAGCCCAAAAGGCATTCGCTTGTAAGCAAAGGTCCCATAAGGACAAGTGAAGGTAGTTTTCTCTTGATCATTTGGGTGGATAGGAATTTGAAAGAATCCACTATATCCATCTAGAAAACAATAGTAGGGATGGTTCGCTAATCTTTCTAGCATTTGATCAATGAAGGGTAATGGGAAATGATCTTTTCTAGAGGCTGCATTAAGCTTCCTATAGTCGATACACATCCTATGTCCCGTTATGGTCCTAATGGGTATCAGTTCATCTTCAGAATTTTTTATGACTGTCATACCTCCTTTTTTGGGAACACAATGGACTAGATATACCCAAGTGCTATCAGATATAGGGTAGATTATACCCGCGTCTAATAGTTTAAGTATCTCTTTCTTTACCACTTCTTTCAGGTTTGGGTTTAATCTTCTTTGAGGTTCAATACTAGAATAAGATTCGTTTTCTAAATGAATTCTATGGGTGCATAGGGTGGGTGAGATCCCCTTGATATCATCTAGTGAATATCCTATAGCTCTCCTATATTTTTTAGTTCAGTTAATAACAGATTAACTTGATCGGTTTTTGGCTCATCACTAATGACAACAGGGTAAGTAGAGTTCTGTCCAAGGAAAACGTACCTTAACCCTTTTGGCAGCGGTTTCAGGTCCACCTTTGGTGCCTTGAGTTCGGACCAGTCGTCGGATGTCAGATCGCCTCAGAGGGAAGGTTGTGATCGAGTAGCTCGGTCGAGTGGACAGTCTGTTGAATGACGTGATCGAGTATATTCTGCTCCTTTGCGTTTCCGAACAAATCCTCATACTCCTCTGGATTCTCACCTTCTTTATGCATATCTAACAGCTTCCGGTACCCCAAAGTTTTCAAGTGTAAATCTTCTTCTTTCCCATTCTTTGTTAGAGCATTTTGTAGATGATCCTCTTCTGCTAGCTCTTCTAGCAGTTCATCAGCCAACATATCCGTCTCTTCAATCCAGAAGACCTTTCCTTCTATTGTAGGCTTCTTCATGGTGTTAGTGATGTCAAAGGTCATCTTGAGTTCTTTGCCAATGTTAAGATTGATCTTTCCTTTCTTGACATCGATGGTGGCTCCAACTGTAGCTAAGAAGGGTCTTCCTAGGATCAAAGGGTCCCTGGGTTCTTCATCCATTTCTACCACTACAAAGTCTGTAGGAACCTCCATAGTGCCTATCCTTACTGGTAAGTCTTCTAGCAAACCATGAGGTATTCTGATGGATCTGTCTACTAGAATCAAAGAAATGTTGCAAGCCTTTTATTTACTGAAACCAAGTTGCTTGGCCACTGAGAGAGGCATCAAGCTTACGGATTCGCCTAGATCGCATAGGCACCGGTTGAATGGTAAAGGGCCAAGTGAACAAGGTAAAGTAAACGAGCCAGGATCTCCTAATTTCTTAGGTGTGATCTTCTGTTCGATGATTGCACTACACTCGTGACTCAATACCACCATTCCCTGAACTTCTTTGATCCTTTATGTGATCATATCCTTCACATATTTGTTAGAGTCTGGTATAAGCGCAAGTACGTCGACAAGAGGCATCGTGACTTCAAGATTTTTCAATTGTTTTTCCAGGAGAGCTTTGTACTTCTGTATCATGACCTTCTAGGATCGACCAGGAAATGGGAGTGAGGGTTGTAAGGTGGGGGAACGAAGACGTTTTCTTTGTTTTTTGTAGCTGCTGGTTTTTCAACAGGAGGAGAAGCTGCAGGAGCTGGTGGTCGAGTAAGTTGGTCGAGTACAGTCTCTTCAGTTGTCTTTTCAGCTGAATCTTCATTTGGACCGAAACCCCCCCCCCATCTTGCTCTACACTGTCCTCAATGTTTTTGTTTGGACTTTCTACTGTGGGTAATTGCTTACCGCTTCTGAGCGTGATAGCATGAGCGTATTCCTTTGAAGTTTGTATTGACTTTCCTGAAGGTCTAGTAAATTTGGGAGCAGAGGTGGAGCTAGTCTGGCCTTCTATGTATCTGATCTTACATGTTAGTGCCTCTACCTTGATATTGATATCATTGTAACTGGAATCAACCTTGTTATGAATTTCGGACATCTTTTTGGCTAGATCCATTGCTCCAGCTGCTTGTCCTTGCAGAATCTGCTGTATCATGTTCTTCAAGTCTGAATCTGGAGTTGTTGAAGCTGGTTGTTGTTGCTGCTGATAGTTGCCTTCGTACTGCTGCTTAGGAACATACCCCTGACCTTGGTTGTATGGAATAAAGGGCTTGGGTTGATTCTGCTGCTGCGAAGGGTTGACCTGGTCTTGCGGGTTTGCAACATTGGTACTTCTGTAAGACAGATTGGGATGATTCTGCTTGTAGTTGTTGAAACCTTTGTTGTAACATCCTTGGTTTTGCACATAGCTGACTTCTTCAGACTGCAGAGTCTCCCCATCCTGAACTTGGAACGTCTCATCATCACCCAGAAAATGAACGTGCTTCTGTTGCACAAGGAGTAACTTGTCCAGCTTGTCATTCAAAGCTTTCATATCCCTGCGGTGCTTCTCATCAGAATCAGAGTTGGTGCAGATGCTTCTATCGTACTCTTCATTGTAGTTGCCGTCCGACTGTGCCAAATTCTCTACCAGCTCCCATCCTTCTTCAACGTCCTTGTTGAGGAAGTTCCCGTTTGAAGCGGTATCAAGAAGCATCCTGATCTTGGGAAGGACACCTCTGTAGAGAGTGCTGAGAAGTGAAGCTTTTCTGAACCAGTGATGAGGGCATTTGGTCTGGTAGCCTTTGAAGCGCTCCCATGCTTCATAGAAGGTTTCAGCATTCTGCCGTGTGAATCCGGATATGTCATTCCGGAGTCTGGCGGTTCTGGAGTTGGAGAAAAATTTAGCTAGGAAGGCTTTCTTGCAGTTGTCCCAGGTTGTGACTGATCCCTGGGGTAGCGTCTTCTCCCACAGATGGGCTTTGTCTCTAAGTGAAAACGGGAACAGGCGAAGCTTGAAACCATCTTCACTAACTTCATTAATTTTTGTAAGGCTATAGAGCCTTTCAAACTCGTCTAGGTGATCGAGTGGGTCTTCTATTGGCAGGCCGTAAAATTTGTTCCCCTGAACCATAGCAATGAGACCGCTCTTAATCTCAAAATTGTTGTTCTGAACCGGCGGAGGAACAATGCCATGACGCAGGTTATGGTTGTGTGGGAAGTCACCAGTGCCAATGTTGTTGGGCAATTCTTGCTCATCTACAACGTCAGCCATCGTATTTGTAAGTGTCTGTTCTCTTAGAGAGCGAGCGATGCGATCGATGTTGTCGTTGACGAGGAGGTTCTGATGTCCTTGTGACCATGTTTGCATACAACAGATATCAGCACAGCTTGGACAGACCAATCAGAGACTGGTCTAGGGAAGCTGGTGAATGTGAGTACCTGAAACACACAAACAGAAAAAAAGACACAGAGTCAGTAACCTTGTAACAAACGAACTTGATCTTAACGTTTACAAAAATCTCAAATATAGCAAAGAAACACTCAATTGGCAACAACGCCAAATTGATAGTAGGTTTTTAGTCAATTAATCCTAAAACACTATCCTGTCGTTGTAGTATTTTAGGTGTCAATCCAAATTGGTTTGATGCAGACAGATGAGATATGATCAGAAGTTGCTAAGTCAAGCCAAGCAGAATTTGGTTGGTTTTCTAACAGTCCTAGTGTTGATGCAGAAAACAGTAAAAAGTCACAGAAATGACTGATATACTCGATCGCAGGGTCAACTGCCAGAAGGGACCATGTGATCGAGTACAACAGGATGACAGAGAGTGAAAATGCAGAAATGGACCAGTTTACTCTATCACGCAGTCTCACTGTTAGTAGACTGGTGTGATCGAGTAGAATGGTTGAAAACAGAAAAATACTAAAATTCAATAGCAAGTGAATGAAGCAGGTAAGTAAACAGAGAAATCAAATGGATGAGAAATTTCTAAGGATGGGGTAATCGAATAGTATGGTCTCCTTGATCAATTCAGTTGGTTAACAAATCTCAATTAAGCTATCCCTAGACAACAGGTTCAACAATAGATTAATTCACTCCCGTGATAGAAATCCTCAAGCATAGCTAGACACAGACCTAATTCCTATTAGCGATCTCTAACTAATAACCGCTCTAAACGTCCAATCCCTTGGGATAGAGACGATTATCACTGGAATTAGTAGATCCAACGTTCCATTAAACGCCTTCTGGGCGCTGGAACGTCTGGGATCGGATTCCAGTTGATCAGAAAGGAATAAGCAGTAAACACAACTAATTCAGAAGGGATTCAATAAGTCTACACTTAACCAACAGATTCGACCAGGGGTTCCACAACTACTCTATCCCATCCTCAGAAATCCTAGTCACTACTCAGACAACATGCTTAAAGAAAATAACATAGAAACGAAATATGAACAAGCAAATGAAAGCAAAATCTGAATAACTTAGAAGAAAAATCGAAATACAAAGTTGCAGGAATGAAAAGCGGCTGTTGAATAATAGTGCAAAATTCGTGTCTCTAAAAGTGCATGTCTCAATGCGAAACCCTTAGAGACTTATTAATACTAAGATAAGAAAGCGGGCTTCGAGCCCACTTAACGGCCCATGGACGGCGTGATCAAGAGTGTCGGCTCAAAGTGGGCTTCCTGATGGGCTTTGAATGGGCTTCGAATGGGCTTCGAATGGGCCTTCTCTTCTCTTCTCTTTTCGATGCTCATGTTGTCTGGTTGAGTGCGGATTGATCAGAGGGTCGAGGTGGTGGTCGAGTAGGTTGGTTGACAGAATGGTCTGGGCTGCTTCTTGGCCTCTATGATCGAGTAAGTGTGTCAGCTGTCAGGATGGACTGGTTCTTCTCCTCTGCAATCGAGTATAACTGGTGGACTGGCAAAGTGGACTGCCTAGTCCCCTCTGCGATAGAGTACAATTGCATAATGGACTGCCTGGTCTCCTCTACGATCGAGTAGAAGTGTCTGGATAGACTGCAGAGCTGACTGCTTCCCTCTCTGCTACTGGTGATCGAGTATGTTGATGGAAGTGTGACTTTCTGTTCTGTTTCCCCTCTTTTTGAGCACCAATAGTTCCAAAACACCTGAAACAACTCCAAAACGCAGAATGTATGCAAGACTAGTCCTAGACTCGACTAAAGATGCAAAATATACAAAAATGATGGTGAATGCTATGAAAGATGGATGAAACTAGACTCAAAATGGTGATAAAAGGATGTGTAAAACATGCAAATTATAGACATATCAGTAGTGGAAAAGCACTTCCAACTAGGGAGGAACCAAAGACAGTCACTATAGACAGTGAAGATCAAGATGGGGAGGATTTACGTCTCGGAAAGGATCAAGCTGACAAACCACTCGACCTGTCACTCGACCAGTCACTCGAGCAACCACTCGACCTGTCACTCGAGCAACCACTCGATCTGCCACTAGACAACGTTACTCGACCAACAACTCGACCTATCTTCCCAGCAGCATGACCAACTGCTCCAAAACCAGTTGCTGTCAAAAACAAAGAAAAGGTCTTTGTCCCTCCTCCCTACAAACCACAACTTACATTTCCTGGCCGTCACAAAAAAGCGTTGGCAGATAAATATAGAGCTATGTTTGACAAGAATATTAAGGAGTTTGAGTTGCGGATACCTCTTGTTGACGCTCTAGCGCTAATCCCAGACTCTCACAAGTTTCTGAAAGACTTGATCGTTGAGAGAATTCAAGAAGTGCAAGGGATGGTGGTATTGAGTCATGAATGCAGTGCTATCATACAGAAGAAGATCATTCCTAAGAAGCTTAGTGATCCTGGTTCATTCACTCTACCATGCTCTTTAGGTCCATTGGCTTTCAATAGATGCATATGCGATTTAGGAGCATTAGTCAGTCTCATGCCGCTCTCTGTCGCCAAAAGATTGGGGTTCACTCAATACAAGTCCTGCAATATATCCCTCATCCTAGCTGACAGATCAGTAAGGATCCCTCATGGTTTGCTCGAAAACCTACCAATCAGGATCGAAGCTGTGGAGATACCAACTGACTTTGTAGTCGTGGAGATGGATGAAGAGCCCAAGGACCCTTTGATTCTAGGGAGACCTTTTTTAGCAACTGCAAGAGCTATGATTGATGTCAAGAAAGGGAAGATTGATCTAAACCTTGGCAAAGACTTTAGGATGACCTTTGATGTCAAAGACACAATGAAGAAGCCTATCATAGAAGAGCAACTCTTTTGGATCGAAGAAATGGATCAGTTAGCTGATGAGTTACTGGAAGAGCTGGCAGAAGAAGATCATCTTAACAATGCTTTAACCAATAGTGGTTAAGATGGGTTTCTCCATTTGGAAACATTGGGATACCAGAAGCTGTTAGACTCCCATAAAGCGATGGAGGAATTGAATGGACCAGCAACGGAGGTAATGGTAATGAGCGAAGAAGGGTCAACAAGAGTTCAACCTGCACTCTCGAGGACATACTCGACCAGCCACTCGACCTTGTCTGCCAACGAATCTGGGGAGCCGATCATTCCAACTTCAGATGACTGGTCTGAACTCAAGGCACCGAAGGTTGATCTCAAACCACTTCCTAGAGGTCTAAGGTACGCAGTCCTTGGTCCAAACTCTACTTACCTGTGATCATTAATGCTGAGTTAAATAATGATGAAGTGAACCTGCTATTATCTGAGCTTAGAAAGTATAGGAGAGCGATTGGTTATTCATTATCCGACATTAAGGGAATTTCACCTAGTTTATACAACCATAGGATCCATCTTGAAAACGAATCATATTCTAGCATTGAACCACAGAGGAGGTTAAATCCCAATTTGAAAGAAGTAGTGAAAAAAGAAATTTTGAAACTGCTTGATGCTGGTGTCATCTACCCTATCTCTGATAGTACTTGGGTTTCTCAAGTGCATTGCGTCCCTAATAAGGGTGGAATGACAATTGTCAAAAATGAGAAGGATGAACTGATCCCTACTAGAACTATAACTGGTCATAGAATGTGCATTGATTATAGGAAGTTAAATGCTGCATCTAGGAAAGATCATTTTCCTTTACCATTCATTGACCAAATGCTTGAACGTTTAGCTAATCATCCATACTATTGCTTTCTTGATGGGTACAGTGGTTTCTTTCAAATACCAATTCACCCTAATGATCAAGAAAAAACCACTTTCACATGTCCTTATAGAACTTTTGCTTATAAGAGAATGCCATTTGGTTTATGCAATGCTCTTGCAACATTTCAGAGGTGTATGACCTCTATATTTTCAGACTTAATCGAGGAGATGGTGGAGGTTTTCATGGACGATTTTTTGGTCTATGGCCCCTCTTTCTCCTCATGTTTGTTGAATCTTGGCAGGGTATTGACCAGGTGCGAAGAGACGAATCTTGTTCTCAATTGGGAAAAGTGTCATTTCATGGTGACGGAAGGCATAGTGTTGGGTCATAAGATATCAGAGAAGGGTATAGAGGTTGACAAAGGAAAAATTAAGGTGATGATGCAGTTGCAGCCACCAAAAATGGTGAAGGACATCCGAAGTTTCCTTGGTCATGCTGTGTTTTACAGAAGATTTATTAAAGACTTCTCTAAGACAGCCAGGCCGTTAACCAGACTATTATGCAAGGAAATCGAATTTGAATTCGATGAGGACTGCCTCAAATCCTTTCACACCATCAAGGATGCTTTGGTATTTGCTCCTGTTGTTCGAGCGCCAAATTGGGACTATCCATTTGAGATCATGTGTGATGCATCAGATTACGCACTAGGAGCTATTTTAGGCCAGAAAATAGACAATAAGCTTCATGTTATATATTACGCCAGCCGAACATTGGATGAAGCTCA